AGCCAACAAAACTGGCGCCAAGGCTGGACAGAAACAAATCGTACAGTGGTAAGTATAAAAAGTACCTACCGTACTCTCAGGGGTGCGCAAATCCCTTTTGGTCTGTCCCAGCCAGCCGCTCAGTCCCTCACGCGGCCTTCCATCGGTCACAACCTGGGGCCCCGCGTGGGCGCCAGCTAAAAAGGTTGGGAGAACCACAATTGGGCTCAGGGTAGGATTTCTGCTGCTGTTCCTAATTTTGAGATATGGATTGCGTGCACGCCGGAAAATAATTACACGGACAACTGTCCAGTACAACCACTTTCACATCATCTCATCTCTGTTTATTGCAGGGCAGTGCTTAACCTTTTATACATAGAGAACAATGGAGTATACGTCACTATTACGTATATACAGTCACATTCTGAAAGGCACATTTTGCTTGGTTGAAATATAGGAGAAATGTAGAAACTTGATGCTTGCTTCTCATCCCGTTATCTTTTCACTCCCCTTCACATTCCCAAAGTCTAAGTGAAGTCCTCTGCGAAGGGAGGGGTTGAGAGCATCGCTCTGAGCAAAACAAGTTAAGGAGGACTGCAAAGCCCAGCAGACAAAATATATATATATATACAACACATATATTTAGAAATATAAAAAAGTATAAAAGTAAATATGTATAAAATGTATATTTTAAACAGAAAACAGAATAGGCATTTTACCAAATCCATCACACAGGGTCCTGGGTTTAGTATCACTTTAAGCTAAATTACTTTAGTGAGGTGGCCCACAAGAACCAAGGTGCCCTTAATCTGAATATGTAAGAAGTAGTAAGGGCACCATACCAATGGTGATGGAGTACAAAGAGTTCTTCTACTATAATCAGTGAAAAAAAACAATGCATGTCAGGGTTTCAAACACTCAGTACTTATATTACATATTACGTGACTTCACAAATTCCTGGGATTATATGTAAAACATCAAATAATAACATCAACAGATTGTGCAGCATAAAGGCTTCTGATGACACATAATATATAAATCCTGATTAAGGGGGAGTGTTTGAACCCCCAAAACGCTTTGGCTCTTTTATTCCATTGATGATCACAGCCCAGCACCTTGGTACCTTGCTTTTTCTGTTCTTGGGGTTATTTGGGGTGCTGATTCAGAAAATTGCCCTTGTGTTCTATCCCCAGGTCCAACCACAGTGTTGATTTTGTAGCAATATGTAGATAGAAATATCAATGATCCTTATATTCAAAACTATACAATACCATGTGGGTGTAAATGTCTAGAGTTAAACTAATTATGTACAAGCAGTGGTGGGAAAATACCAGGAAATTACATTTCTGATTTTTTTCCCGCTTTTTTCCTAATTACAATAATTAAGTATTTAAAATGTATATTTATTCCACTTAGTTATGACATTTAAAAATCCATCTGTTGTGAAATAAGTGATAGAAAATCTGTAAGGTGTTACAGTAAGCTGCATGAGCCGACTCATGTCTCAGACCAACCTACCATTGCTCCTGTCAGTGTACTAAGCCTGCAGTCATGAGGTGGCTACAGGGAACGCCAGCCAATTAACTGAAAACAGAGTTAAAGCAGCAGTTTAATCTACTTATATTTCTCTTCACTGGTTCCTCTCCACCCATCAACATGCTAATGAAAATTTTAAATACAATCTTTTCTTTTCATTACATACCATTTTGTTTTAGATCCAGTCACACCCTTACTGGGTCTCTTTGCTTCTCTATGCAATAAAGACAGATCATGGCTGGTGGGAGGGGCCAGCAGGGTGCTGTACATAGCATTCTAGAAACAACACAGCACTCTGCCTCAATACACCTCTTAAGAGCTCTCAGCCTTGATGCAGGCAGTGGGCTGGCGCTTGGCAGGAGATACATAATTATCAAAATGCATTGATGAATGGGTTCAGTCTGGAGGAGTGGGCTTACCTAGGCAGGCTGTATTTACATGCAGAATTGCATAGGTAACACCCACATGTGATGCTGAACCTCCATGATTGGATGAAGGGAAATCCAATGAATGAAAGGAGAGAGCCAGGGACAGTCAAGTTGGGGAGAAGCAAGCTATATGATGCTTGTGGTCTTTATCAAGCAGTGCGCACAGTGTGCAGTGAAATCAGAGGAAAAGAGAAGTTTGGGATTAACAAAAAAAAAAAAAACTCACCTAGGTGGTTGCAGCATCGATCCAATGCTGCATCTGCTTCTAAGACTGAGAACTGGGCAATCAAAGACAATTGATTGCTCAGTTCTCAGTCTTCAGTAGGCAGAGAGCTGGTGACTGTCAGTGTCATCGGAGTGCTAGACTGTGAAGGGAGAGGGATTGACTGGCTCAGACTCCCAGGGGCATGCAGGGAGGCTGAGCCAGGTGCCACTCCAGGTATCTGGATGGATCCCAGTCGACTGTAAAACGTGACGTCAACCCAGGGGTGGACTGACAACTCATGGGGCCCCCGGGCAATAGGGGATGATGGGGCCCGGTGTCCTTGCCCAAACTCAAAAAAGCCTATGAAAAAGGTACCAGGGGCATCTCTTGGGGCCCCCTACTGACCCTGGGCCCTCGGGCAGTGCCTGAGTTTCCAAATGGTCAGTCCGCCCCTGCGTCAACCATTAGTGGGCTTTAGAACACTGTGGGCTGGAAACAGGTTACAGAAGTACAGAACAAACTGCACTCCTGAGAGCCATAGAAGAAGTACAGCCAAAAGAGCTTTGTTCATACTTTACTTCTAAGTAGATATAAACTCAATCACTAAAATCTCATAGAATCTGTATCAAGGTAATGTCATTTCATAAGTCACTTTTAGGCCCCTTGCATATGGCCAGTTTGTTGCATCCTCCGGATTCCTGCTGCAAGAGTCTGCTGATTCTTGCTGCAGGAATAACCTGGTTATGCGATCAGTCCATTCAAACTAGTGGCAGGCTGAGAGTGTCCGTTGCTGATCTCATGTAGCCGCACACAGAGCAATTAGCTGCGGTTCTGGGACAGGTCTCAGCCTGGACGCAGCTATTGACTTTTTTCTCTGTCGTGAAATACAAACAAACGTTATCCCAAAACATATCTATAGTGCAAGGGTCTCCAACCTTTCTAAACTAAGGGCCAGTTTACTGTCCTTCGGACTTTAGGGAGGCCGGACTGTGGCCACTAGGAGTAGAAAAGGTCCTGACTGCAGTTGGAAAATACAATGCCTCATGTTTTGTGTCATTGGGAGGATATGAGTCTCATCATTGGTGTCATTGGGCCCCATTGTTGGTGTCACTGGGAGAAATTGCGTTCCATTGTTGGTGTCATCGGCAGGAATTGTTCCCCTTCATTGGTGTCAGTGTGGAGAATTATGCTCCATTGTTGGGGCACTATTACATCCACTAATACAAAGGGCCGGATAAAAGCAAGCAAAGGGCCGCATCTGGCTGCAGTTTGGAGGCCACTGCTATAGTGTGTAATTGTCTCAATTCAGAGCATATCATTTCTGTACGCTGCCACATTCCTCTGCTATCTGTAAGAGTTCCTTCTGACAGGTTTTCTTGACACCAAGAGATAAAAAAGTGACAGGGGAGGGACTTCCAGCACATAGCTGTGATTGACAGCCTCAGCTATGTTTCTGTGTGAAGGGGGGGGGGGGGTGTCCCTTCCCTCCAATCAGCTCTCAGCTCTTCTCACTGAGCTCTGCAGTGTGTAATTGTAGCTCCCCTCCTCCAGCTTTCTGGAACCTCAGACAAGATTTATAAATTCTGAACTTTAAACAGCTGTATGAAAGAGAGGGCTATCCATATAGTTGTTGCTTATAAATCTTAAAATTTATTCAGAAAACCACAGTGTGCAGAAATACAATTTAGTTGATGCATTTCAGCCTACACGGTTACATGTTATGATTAAAGCCGTGTAGGCTAAAACGCGTCAACTAATAGTTGCACTGTACATGGTGGTTTTCTGAATAAATTTTAAAGATCTTTTAAGCAACAACGGTTGTGCAGAACAACTACATGGATTTACCACTTTCAGATGAGTGACTGAAAATTGTGCACCCGGGAGCTTTACTGGGGGATTAATGGGTACTAGCACAGTTAATTTTCTTTAGAAAAGAGAGGCTGCAGATAAACAGGTACAATTTATGTGCAAGAACAAATGTGTAGTGAGCGCACATCAGATTAGGCGGCTCCCTTTGAGAATGTGCGTGTGCACGAAACGCGTCAGAGAGGAGCCTACGTGCTGATGTCACGCCGCCGAGTCTATGCGATAGTCCAGCGGCCATCTTTGTGAGTGTTTATTTTTGGTTTTTATGCACCACGCTTTGTGATTTTAATAAAATACTACACTGTATACCGCTGTCTCTGGGCTGTTATGTGAGCTCTTTCCTAGGATGTGCCATACCGGAGCAGGGGAGGTTCATTTGCAAGAATGCACATATAAGAGCCCATACTGTAGTGGATGTAATCTGGGTATTTCCCTATTTCCTGCAGTGGATGGATACATTTTTTGGAGGGATTTCTATATGAGGTACAATTTATGTAGATGGATTTGTTTCATCTAAGTAGACTTGGCATCAGGAATATTTTTCATGTAAAGTCCATGCATGCTAAGTAATGTGTCGAGGTTACACTTGCAGATATTTATTGCCTCCAACAGAGATCACAGTACTCTCCCTGACAATGGAGATATTTATTGCCTCCAACAGAGATCACAGTACTCCCCCTGCCATCTGCTTTTCTCTCCAGAAGGAGGGAGCCATCTTTGTTCAGGTGCTGAAGCCTCTGACTTGCTAGAAAGTTACCATGTTACAGTCTGATCACTCTCAGAGAGGAGACTGAGGAAATGCTTCCTCCTGCCTGCAGCTGACTGATGACATAATTTCAGCCTAGGCAAAGTCAGAAGACTCAAGCTGAGGGGTGGCATTTTATTTCATAAAAAGGGGATCTTTTTTGGGGAAAAAAAAACGATATGTTGCTGTATATTGCAGGGGCGGACTGACAACTCATGGGGCCACCAGGAAAAAGGGGATCATGGGGCCCCTGTGTCCTTGCCCAAACTCAAAAAAAAACTCTGAAAAAGGTACCAGGGGCATCTCATGGGGCCCCCTACTGACCCCGGGCCCTCAATAGGGGATCATGGGGCCCCTGTGTCCTTGCACAAACTCAAAAAAGCCTATGAAAAAGGTACCAGGGCATCTCATGGGGCCCCCACTGACTCCAGGCCCTCGGGCAGTGCTCGAGTTTCCAAACGGTCAGTCCACCCCTGGTATATTGTGATATATTAGCAATTTATACATGCAGAGCTCCTAAAAGGTCCACTTTATTCCTACCATCTGGCCAAGTGTAGGACAATGTCACCTGCTGATCTGAGGTCTGTAACTGGAGAATCAGGCAGAATATTGTGGGGTGTAAGCTAGGATTAGGTTAGTTAAAAGTGTTTATTGTTTCATTTCTAGAAATGAAATATCTTTATCTACCAATGTCTGTGAAACTCAATCAAGTTGAAAAGAAGCTTTTTGCAAGTCCAATTGGGCAGCAAGAGGTCACCACAATACAATTCGGCCTAAATTGCTTACAATATGATAGGAAAAAGGATTGTCTCTTTGTCCTTTTAATTTTTCAGCATGCCCACATCTTGAACAGACTGTCTCATCCTGGCACCAGCTCATTAAATAGATGTGTATTCCTCTGCCAGGAGAAGCTGTGTTGGCAGAACATTAGAAATAAAAGTGGCAAACAACTTAAACAAGACAGGATTTAGCAGCATAAATATATTAAATGCTCTTAAAGGAATTATTTTCCCTGGAGGCAGCGCTCAAGATCAGTTCGATGTTTTTAGGTGATTTGGGGTTGGTGGCGGGAATTAGGTTAGGAGGAGACATAGGGGATCAAAGAATAACTGGCAATAGACCAAACAAATCAATATTTTCATTTAATGGGTAATTGGGTCTGGACCCTTCACTTCAACTTGGAGCTCATGGGGATAAAAATATACAAATCCTGCAGGCTGATATTACAGAGTCTGGAACACTATAGCAGGCTGCCATGAGTAGGCTCACTCATAGGAATGTATGGGGCCATGGTGCACATGTGCATTAGGAAAAAGAGACAGCCAGGGAATTTTACTTGCAAAGTCTCTACAGCACTGGGCCATACAGTGGAGACTGCAAAAATGGGGAGTAAGGTATTTTGCCAGGTGGGCTGGTTAACTACAAAAACACACACAGGAAGGCACCTAGTACATTACCACCATATATGTATTCAATATAAAACAGTTGTATACTCACAAACATAAATAATAGCAGGCACATCAAACAACGAACACTCCAGCCGTAGGTGATGTAATCTCTTCATATGCAGAATGATTGGAAGACTAACACGTTTCGGAGCACAAGCCCCCTTCCTTAGAGCTCTGAGGAAGGGGGCTTGTACCCTGAAACGCTTTAGTCTTCCAACTTTCCGGCATACGATGAGATGACATCGCCTATGGCTGGAGTGTTTGTTGTTTGATGTGCCTGCTATTATTTCTGTTTGTGAGTATACAACTGTTTTTATATTGAATACATTTGTGGTGGTAATGTACCAGGCATTTGCACCCTCGTGTGTGTTTTTTTTGTAGTTTATAGAAGATTACCCAATCTGAGGAGGGTTGCATCAAGTGAAGCATTATGGGACAAGATTTTATGAGGATCACCTTAGTTTGAGCATGGGAGTGTTTGGACGAATGCAGTAAAGAGTGGACAGGTTGCTTAAAGTGGGCTTTCTTTGGCAAATAAAAGTTCCACTTTTTTGAGAGCCCCTTAACACAAATGGTTTTTCAGAGCCATTTGTGACAAAGCCATTTACCCAAAAATTAAAAAAAAAAGACCTTGGTCCTGGCTTTGTACTCTTTCTTCTGACAGAGCTGGAAGCTCAAAACCCAAGGGATTTCAAGCTCCTAGCAGTGCCAGAAGTCATGGTGATGTCTACTGCAAATATCATAAACTGGGGCCCAAGGTAGTTTTTTTTTATTTTGGGTAAATGGTTTGTTTACAAATGGCTTTTTGGGGTGCAGGGGGCTTTAAAGAAAAGCAGACCTTCTGTTTGCTATGGAAGGTCTGCTTTAAAGTGTATATAAATTCAAAAATACGCAACATATCAGTCCTTAGATATGTGGATGCATTTATTTTAGTTTTTTCAGGATAAGAGGCTTTTTCAGCAAGTACAGAAAATAACTGCTGATCTTGCCAGAAATGCTGTCCATTTTCTGTGAGCTAATGAAAGCAAAAACATCATCGTTCTTCTACTGTAAACTACTAGTTTCATCAATCCACCATGTAAGGAAGATGAAAAAAGGCAGACATTTTGAAGTCCAGTTTTACCCTTCGAAAACTGGTGTCTGTACAATATGCTCACACCATTCCCCCTCCTTCTCATTTGGCCAGTTGCCTTTGCCTGTGTTATTCAGACAAACCCCCTGCAACCAGTGTAACTCCAACGTCTGCTGGGCATTCTGAAACATGTGCTCCAGGGAGTTTGCAGTGTAACATCCACACCACCAATGGCCATGGTGGATACCAATGATCTGGGGATGGGTTTTGGAGGGAGTGCACACCCTAGTTTTGCCACCTCATACCTGTAATTAATATGTATTTGGATTTAAAGGGATGCGGTGGCAACCCTAGCACACCCACAGGTTAGGCAGGGGGTCCATATATTGTGATTCTATTGGAGGTCACTGGGGTGGGACAACAAAATCATTCTCTTTTGGAGCCATGGATTCCTGCACAGTTGAGGCCCTGCTCTGCATTGTGGAAGGATAACGGGCTCCTTTGGTCATCAGTTCTGTTCTCATAGTAGGAGATTGGTACCTCTGTGCACGGCCCTCCTTACCATCGTGTCTTGAATTTTACTGTCTCTCTTTATTTTAATATGTGCTGCACTTACTGTTACTGCTATATATACCGTGTCTAATAATACAAATATTAATAATTAAATCATATTTGCAAAAAAAACTATTTTATCATCCCTATGATAATGACAAGGAAAGCAAAAATGATAAATGGGCACCAAGATAATTCGTTTTTCTCTGTGTCAATAATACATGTTTGTTCCTTTCTAGAGAGTGAGGCCTGTACAAAGGGCACTATAGGAAACAAAAGGAATGCACACAAAAGTGTATTTACACAAGAACATAAGCTTTAGGGGACACACAGCCGGCAGATTTACATCCCCTGCATTACATTCTGTTCATAATCACTACGTGTGGTTTGCTAATGTCAGCCTGTCACATACACAAAAGGGCTGCCATCCAGTATTACAGGCTGAATTAATACCAGAGAAGACGCAGCCTATTAATTTACTAGATAGAGAGGTCGTTACTGAGACATGGGGCGCCTCGTCATAGGCTGCTTCAGACAGCAACATGACATATGGCTCTTTTAGAGGGAAGCCTATTGAGAACCCATCACAACCAATTCAAGAAGCTTAATATTAGGAATGAATGTATTGTAATTTTTTGACCTCTCATTTAACTTCATCTGCTTTGACTGAGTCCACTTCTTCAGACTGAGAGTTGGGGGGGGGGGTGACCCCTCCCTATGATGAATTGCTAACATTGAATGTAAAAACACCCTGAAAGTCTTCACAATGGCTCTTAATAGAGTGACACCTGTCACCTGTGAGCCCTATGTAGTGGTCTAGGCATAAGGTTGGGGGTGGGGTGATGCCTTCTTGATTGACTTGCCCATAGTTAGTATTTGCATTGCAAATTTAGGATACTTTTAAGAACCATTGTGAAAAAATATGATATACTGCCATTTTCGTTGTGCTTTGTCAATACATATTTACACACAAGTGTAACTGGTATAATGTGTGCTGAAGGTTTTGTGCAGTGCACAGTGTACAGCATGTATGCAACAATGGAGCAACAGCTCCAGGATGGATACCGCTGCGACAGATGTGAGCGGGTTGCCCTTCTGGAAACTCACGTTAGAGATCTGGAGGAGCAAGTTGCAACACTGGGGCAAACCGACAACCTTGAAAGGGGTCTTCTGCTCTCTGAGCAGGTAGCTAATGGGATTGATGTGGAGGGCAGAGGGGCTAATCAGGATTATCAGGTAGGAATATGGGTTACTGTAACGAGAGACAGTGGTAGGGGCTTACAGAAAAGGAAGGCTGGTCCTGGGTTTGTGCACCCAAACAAATTTACCAAGTTGGGTGAAGATGTAGGGGTGGCATCAGGGGTGGCAGCCCTGGATGTCACTGCTATCCCTAACAGCTGGGAGGGGTGGTGTGGGTAGTGCAGGAAGGCCTAGACAGCTGGTGGTAGTAGGAGGAAGACTGAAAGACTGATAGAATATTTTGTCGCCAGGATCGCCTTAACGAATGGTTTGCTGTCTTCCTGGTGCCAGGGTTCGGCATGTGGTGGATTGGTGTTGATAAATTACTGGGAGGGAGGGGCTGGGCATGATCCAGCTGTCTTATTCCATGTTGGTGCCAATGAAAGAATACATGGAAGGCGGATGCTCCTTAAGAATCAATTTAAAGAACTAGGCTGCAAGTTGAAGGGAAGGACCTCCAAGATGATATTCTCTGAAATATTACCTGTGCCATGCACAACTCAGGAAAGACGGGGAGATTAGAGAACTCAATGCATGCGTAAAGACCTGGTGTAAGAGAGAAGGATTTGGGTTTCTAGAGCACTGGGCCGACTTTTCATTGGGGTGCAGCCTATATACTAGAGATGGGTTGCACCTAAATGGAAGGGGGTCTGCTGTGCTGGGGGAGAGGTTTATGGGAAAGTTGGAGGAGTATTTAAACTCGGATCGAGGGGGGAGGGAAAATTAGATTATTACGGGGTAGTTAGATCAGACGGGGCAGTACTTATTGGTGGGTGGAATGGGGAATGATGGGGGGAGGGCTATGGCAGATGATAAGAAGTTTTCCATGTTACAAACAACCAGTGGAATTGGTACCATTTGTATGAAAATAAAAAATATGCAAAATACGTGTGCACAAGGTGTCAATGCATTAAAGTGTTTGTTCACCAATGCCAGAAGTCTGCCAAGCAAAAAAGGTGAGTTGGAAGATTTGGTGCATGAAGAGAATTATGATTTAATTGGTATTGATGAATCTTGTCTTCATTCTTCACATGACTGGGCCATTAATATTCCTGGCTATGTTCTCTTTCGG